TTTTTTTCTGAGTTTTGGAAAATATTTTCGAAAAAAAAAAAAAAAAAAAAGAAAAAAAAAATGACAGATGTAGCAGGTAGGAGTCAGGAAAAACAAGCCACAAGTGCCATAAATTTTATCTTTGCTAGAAAAGATAAATAGTGTAATGAAAGTCTGTCTAGTTTATTTTACAAGCTTGTCTTTCTTGGTACTGAAGGAGCCCTGTTCCCTGGTCCATTTTTCCAGCTTCCTCATCTGCTACCAAAGAGCAAGAAGGGAACCCCAACAAATGCACGAGAGAAGTGTTACAGCATCTACCCAGGGGTACTCGCTGGCCTACTTTGTGTCTTTTCTTACAAAAATATTAAAGATGTTTTGACACCCCTGTTTATCAGTAGAGGGAGATGACAGGGAAGGAAGAGCAGCAGGAACTACATGTTCTAACCCCCTGTTTCAATCGGTCAGTGTCACCCCAGAGGTAAAATAGCTGCTGCTGATTTACCTGCTCCTGTCCTCCACGGGCTGAGAGCACAGTGTGTGTGGGTGTGTGCTGGTGCGTGCTGGTGTGCTGTGTGTCACAATCTGGAACAGTGTGTTAGAACACGCACATCACACACCTTCACCTCGTCTGAAGCACAGAACAGCCTCTCACTAACACATCTCATTCTAAATCTAAAGCTAAGTTGTCCCAAACTGGAGCAAAAGTCTCAATTTCTACTCTTCGCATTTGTTTAGTCAATTCTAGCTGTTAAATACTGTCTAAACATGGACTGGGGGCAAGTTCTGTGACTGAGGGTTACAGCAACCAAGACCCTCTGAGAGCAAAGACCACAAGGTTGCTGGCCAAGAAGGCAAAGGTTGAAGCAGATGATCGTCTCAGCTTCCTCTGCCACTGAGCTGGAGTCACATTTCACGGTGATCTCTGAAGGCCAGAGCCCTGAGTTACCAGCCTCGACAGCTGGATCGACTCTATTTGAAGATGTGCCACTTCAAGAACTTAAATTACAATGTTCTTCCTTGAAATGAGAAGCAAATCCATCTGTTCCTGAAAGGGCTGATTGGCCTGGTGTTTCTGGAACTGTCAAAAAATAACCCTGAACTGAAGCACTCATCAGATCAGACACCACTTCAGTACAGATCTGTCTTGAGCTTGACACATCAAGAGGCACCAGAAGGAATTCTTCAAAGCAACCTTTACAGCAGGGATCCAGTAAAGTGGCCAAGACAAAACGTTCAGATCCCAGCACAGCACTCCTTAGAAAACCAGTTTCAAGGCTAGGATATATCACCCACCTCTCAGTCCAAGGGCGACACTGACACCTTTGATTTCAAAGTCTTTCAGTGAGCTCTGAAAAGCCAGAAAGAGGTGACCGATGGCAGCACTTGACTTAGAACTGCAGTTCCCCACTGGCCTTCACCTGCAGGCCAAGAATCTTGTGCCCATCAGACATCTGGGACCACTGGAATGAGCCGAGAATAGCCCCATTCTCCCGAAGTCGCTCCACCTTCTGCTGTTTTAAAGCTACTTTAACATATAAAAGGTAGAGACAGGGTCACTGAGCAGCTATTTCCTGCTTCCAGTGATCCTGTGGAAGGTGGTTTGAAAGCTGTTTGAGTTCCTGAAAATTTATGGGCCTCAGCAGTATGAATAAGCAAGTCTCTTAAGCAACTGCTAACCTGTTCTCAGTGCTCCTCTGCTCAAAGTCCTGAATCATTAATTTTACAATATAAGCAAAACATGGCAGCTGGCACCTAGTGCTGTGTCGGCAGCGTCGTCCAAAGCTGGAAAGGCAGGGGTGAGGGGATTAAGGGAAAGCCACACATCAATTTGGTAACTTGGGTGCCATGGTTAAAGGTCCACATGTCAACAGTTAAATGCGTATTTTTGTGTCGCGCTTTCTCCAAAGCCACAAAAAAAAGTTCTCCAACAGTGGTGTACAGTCCCATCCTACAGATGGAAACTGACTGCCTCACAATCTGTATGAACTTCTAATAAGTTGGCCTGGAAAAAAAGTGTCTTCAGTAATAAATAACAGATAAACAGATCTATTATAAAGTTGAAGTGCATTGATATCCGAGTTCTTTCACTGCAGCACGTGGTTAAGAGTCCCATGGGTAAGATTCATGTCCTTTCTCCTACCAACACCTGCTCAGCAGGCAAAGACAAGAAGAGGAACACCCAATCTTGGAAACATTAGGCTGTCTCCAAGCCTAT